TCACAAATATCGAAGTATTCAATAAGGAAGACGTGATATTTACCTGTTTCTCGTATGCTATCGTCGAGAACGTACCCCCATATTTATGGCCTGGGTATACGACTATCTCATCAGGTAACCTTTTCAGCTTCTGCATCGTCTCAAACATGTGTGTGCCGTTGCAGTCTGGGAAGTCCAGCCTAGCAACGCAAGTTTTGTGTAGATATGAGCGGTGTAGTCAGTGGTAGAATCCCCGGAAACCAACAGTCGAATCAAACATAAACGATCGAACTATTCGGACTGCAGGGGTTCTGGGTGGGTAGACGGGACAGGACATTTTGTAGTGTGATAGCGCCGTATGTGATGTGTATGCGACGAGATATTGGTGACTGGATGTGGTGGTCCAGTGAGATTTTGAGTAAATAAGTGGGCAACCTCACACCACTCACCAATAACCAGCACCTATCGATCAAAATGTTTCGGACAGCTAATGAAATCACAGCCTAAACATGACTACGCGGTGCTATCATCGGTTTGGCATGCATGATAAATAAGGCCCACGTAGACAAACAATACAGGTTGTTTGCCTCTTGCCCACGAATCTATACCTGTCAAAGCTCACAAAGAGGACTGTGCCACCAGTCAACAACCGACAGCACTGCCCCGCATATACTGAGACTCTGCGGTTATACACCCATATACACACACTATACTGCCAATCTGAAAGCAGCATCAACGGTATCACACCACGAATACTCTTGACGTCGTACGAACGCTCTCGACAGCCTCGTGTACACTGACCCTACTTTAAAGTGAAATTCGGTATACCTGCCACAGCCTCCAATAAAAACCGTATCGCCCGACAGCAGGCGACACCCATTGACCAGGATGCACTGTGAGCCTGGGGTGTGTCCCGGTGTGTGGATGAACTTCATTGTGGTATCGCCCAATTGGATTTCCTGTGAAGGGAGTGTGGCATTGAACTGGTTAGCCATGTGGAGCGTGTTTCAGGATATTTGGTAGTACTGCCAAGGGGACGCTCTTCGATGTATTGGGTGCATTTGTCGAATATTGGTTGGTGATGTGCAGTATGTCTCGGGATGGGTTAGGTGTTAATGCTTAATACAACGCATCCCGGAGTAACGCCAAATTGATTCTCCTGTGAGGGGATTGACGAGTAGACCGGCTCGGCTGGTGATATAGTTCTCCCAAGTCTTGAAATGCGACAAGGGAGATGGCCTTAGACAAAGGGCGTAAGTAGCACTTGTGCGCACATTAGAATATCATACTCAACAATCTGGATAGTTACTGATTGAAGCCCGTAAATGACTTCCTCTCCCCCGTTCTATGTATCAAGGCTCGTGAGTTCGATTTGCGCTGCGTCTTCTAAAAGTGAGATTGGCAGCCAACAACTGTTCTCGCTCCATTGTGCATATACTTAGTTGTTGTCCCTGATAGAGAGTGAGAAGTGCCAGTAAGCCTATCACTTCTAACTCTACCAGTCGTAATAACGAATATCCAGTAAAAGCCTCTTAGCTCTCTTATCTGTTTTACTGGTGCTGCATACATCGTGCAGTCCCCTCATAAGTACGTACGAGGAGGGTGTGGTTCACCAGCACTGTACAGGTACTATTCAGCTCAGGGTGCTGAGATACTAAAGTCAAGCTGGCCGCCCACCCTTCTTCCCTATTCTATTGAATGCGGGGGCACATATGCTCTGGTTGCTGGGTGTATGTGCACATTCATCATCGTAAGTCTCATACGTACCTGATTGTCGGTGGTTTCCACAATCTGCTCCCCGGCGACTCCATTCACTGCCAAACCCAAATTTGAACCGTATTGAGCCAAATTTATCAACCAAGGCGTGTGGTTGTATGTACGTCTCCAGAAGGTTGGATGAATATACTGACCAAGACTATGCGACCCACTTACACTGTCGTCACTTGTGAATATATAACTGTATATACATAAAAAAACAGGTGTATGCTTGTGGGCGTGTAGGTGTCAAACTCGGAGATTTGCATGTGGCTGTACAGATGTTTTGTAGCTACACTGTAAACTATACTATTTACAGTTTATAAATCAAGAATATAAGATAGGCCATACTTGGGCGATACCCTGCTCAGTTTGCGAATTATGTATTCATTGGTTAATGCTACCCCGTGTTCGTTTCATACATTCACTCATTCCCCGTAAACTATGATACTGACAGTTCAGTCAATGCGTGCGACTTTGCGATAGCTCATTCTCACACAGCGCTCAAGTACAAAATTTTCATATGCTAAGCATAGTATATAAATATATATGCAACTAGACATACCCTCTTTTAATGTCGTAGCGTCGCCGGGACCAGCATAGACCTTTAAATTCTTAAATTTGCGCGTGAGCGTGTGAATGCCATCAACTGTAACGGGATATTTTTCATAGGGCGGTGGCGGTTTACCCCCTGTTGAATAGACGAAAAACATGAGTTACCATAGCACACGTACGCGCACACTGCGAAGTCCGCTGAAGAACAAATGTTGAAAATGCACTCGCATATCTCGTATAAGCTCAGACCCTTATAAACGTACATTGTGAAACTATGAATGGCTCATTGTATCAGCTACAGTGTACTAATATAAATAGCACATATAAGATGCGAGCTCAAAAGGTTTCCCACACACACACATTCCCTTTCTCGCCAGCGCACATTTTTTCATATACACATGTGTTTTAATGCATACACTCTCATATCCCCTTGACATCGTACACGTACAGTGTTCACACACTCACACACGGTTGCGCACCTGTGTGATCAAAATGGTAGTGTGTGATGATAGCGCCCACCAGCTTGAGTTTTAATTGTTCTATACACTGTGTCGTTTTAGAAAGTGAGATTGGGGTGGGAAATGAGTCGGAGGCATTCGTGAGATGAGGCTCATGATACTACATGAATAACCCAACCAACGAGGCAGTATCCAAATGACGATCAATAAGATGTAGGATGTAACTTGACGTGATAGGTTGAAATGGTGACAGGTAAGAAGACGGCAAGAATTCAAAATAAAAGTGAACTTGAAAAGCCGCCACGAGTTGCAGCTATTGAATTGAGAAACTCGAGGTACAGCGGAGCGGGAAAGGGCAAATAAAAATACGACTGCAGAACCTGGACAACGCAACCCAATTCACGAACACGAACAGATGAATACCTTTAAGACACCCGGGACGTCCCAACAGATGTCTACCACATAGGCCTCCCTTGTTTTGGCATCGGCTATGATGTATATGAAGTTTTGCATCATCTTGGCGAACTTGTTTATCAGAGCCTGTGTTGTGGTTGCAATAGTATTTTTTCAGTCCAGTGGGTGTGATGGGGCAAGATGTTTACAAATATAACTGAAATTAAACCTCATCGTACCACAATTGCTGATCTGGCGGTAGTGTTGGAAGTGCAGTGCTATAAATGCACGGATTGATATCCTTGTGGGAGTGTTGTGAGACAATGTCGATAGAATAGTGAATATTCCGCATCAATTGAGGAAATTCTAAAATCCTGCATCAACTATGAAATTTTTGTATCAGATGGTGTGATATTCATTCCGCTAAGAATGAAAAGAACGATAGTTTGGGCGTATGCAATGCAGGACAGAAGGTAGACACAATCCTATACCCCACTCACTCCTGAAGGTCCCGAACATACTTCTATTCGCTTCCAGATCAGCCAAAATCAATTCGCAAGTATATACATAC